ATAAACATTTATCAAAAGCATTTCCATAGAAAGGTATTATATTAAAAGACTCGGGATGTCATGTTCGTACCGATCAAAAGCATAAACAGTACAATATAAGCCTTACTACATTATTTCATATCTACAGGCCTATATCCGTAATCCCTCGTCCAAACATCATATCTATGCTCAAGCTCCACTACCTGTAATACATAAAACTGAGTGGGTCAGGCTTGGGAGCCTGGTGAGCACATAGGGTTTTCAACCCACAATAAATAAGTTTATTAACTTCATTAAATTAAACAATCCCGATTACCCGTTCCCGTTATCCTCACATTAGGTCCCTAAGCATCTAGCATAAGGGACCCATCCTAAAGATTATCATCGGGATGGACACTACTGCTAAGGGGATTCCTTAGCAACAAATGTCCTTAAGGCAACTATGTGGGGGATGGAGTACATCTGGTGAGCACACAGTTCAAATAAACACACAGTTCGAATAAACACCTACAGGTTGCGAGCCTGCTAGTGTTCCACTGGACTGTCTAGAATAGTCCGTGGTCGTCATCTATACTCCGCTAGATGACTGGATCATCAATAACATCTATAACGAGGCCTCTCATTATTTTATTTTGTCACACAACAACTATTACATCTACCCATGTTTTACCCAACACATTTGGTAGATATAAAATACATATACAGATTAAATCATTGAAAACATGTATAAAACGTTCATCCAACATAGATAGCAAGTATTCAGATAATATGCACACATAGCACGTAATTTATATAAAATACTTCATATCTATGTGTAAGCTGAAAGTAACTATGCACTCACTTGAAAGGTGGTGACTCAGCACTCGGACAACGCTTCGATACTCTCACAACGATTTTCCTTTCATAAAACCTAGTATCGATGCCACTAGGGTTTAGTCTAATGATAACCGCAACAAATTAATTGTCTGACTATTATTATTATTATTATTATTATTATTATTATTATTATTATTATTATTATTATTATTATATAAGCATTAATAAAACTTAATATAACTCATAATAATAGCCCAAATAGTTATTTTAAGGACCTAATAACATTCCTATATTAAAACATAAGCTAAACTAAAGATAGGTTAGGCGTAGCTCACTTACAACGGGTTTTCTAGAAAACCAAGGTTCGCTGGAGCAGCGTTCCTGAGCCGAAAGGCTCTTTTCTCGGGACTCCAGGAGCCTCGGGGCTTCCTTCAAGTGCTAGGGGGTTTACCTAGGCTTTTAGGGGGGTTAGGGAGCTTAGAGAGAGAGTTTAGAGAGAGAAAGAAGGGTTTGAAGGTGTGAGGAAGAGGCTAGACCCGGCACCTCTATTTATAGAGGAAAATCTGATGGACTCGCCGACTCTGAGTCATGACTCACCGATTTGGTGCATGTGGCAACCTTCTGGTGGTGCCACGTGTCCAATTCTGGTGGTGCCACGTCACCCCCTATCGCGTATCAGCCTTAAACTTAGAAAAATCATAACTTTCGCATACGAGCTCCGTTTTCAACGTTATTTATATCCACGCGTAGGTAAAATCATGATCTACAACTTTCGTTTAGACTCCATCGGCTAATTCTCGACCGATCTCAAATTTAACAGTAGGAGACGTTTAGACTGTTAAATGACCGCGAAGAATTCATAACTCCTTCATACGGACTCCGTTTTCGTCTGTCTTTTTACCGTTGAGTTCTTATCAATGAGATATTCAACTCTCATTTAGGTCACATAAGCGAAAAACCGCTCGAACTAAAATTCGAGTTTCGGGTCGTGCACTGCTAAGCCGAATCTTAGAAAAATCATAACTTCTTCATACGAAGTCAGATTTGGGCGTTCTTTTTATGGATTTTGTCGGTTTAACATATTCTACGACTTTATTTTAGATCACTAAGGCTAAAAAGTCTTCTATTGTAAATTTACTATTTACGTCTCCTGGTGCCATGCCGGTTTTGCCGTAAAACTTCGGCGGGCCATAACTTCTTCGTTATAACTCGGATTTCGGCATTCTTTATATGTACGGTAACCTTGAGACATATTCTACAACTTTATGTGGAGATATTGGACTTATCTCACACTTTAATTTTGACGCTCATTTTTATTCTTTATTAAATATATATTTATAAGAAAGTAATAAGCACACAAATACACATAATTTACATAGAATTAAAATATTTCATCTTTATTACATCAAAAGAGTTACAATAGTTGACCTAGACTATTACATTGTCCAAAAATGCTTAGCCCCGAAACCCGAGCGTTACAGGAAGGTTTCGTCCTATCCTACCCGTTCGGCTAACGACCCTCCACTAGTCAAGAGTGCGGTGGGTAAGAGTGGATACCCATTCAATCGCCATATTATAGGCAATTTCCTTAAACACCCCTTATATACCAGCTTCGTGAATGAGACCTACTAACGGTAAGACTGACTTTTACTCATACATATATATAATGTTAGACTTTTAATGTTATATATAGTATAGGGTGTATTTTATACTTTTAAAATACTAGGTGGTCAAATTTAACATTTATACTTTTAATTCAATTAAATTGTAAACCTAAACTTTTATGGATTTATTAAACCTCTTTTAATTATACACCTTAATTAATTAATAAAACCATAAGGGTGTGATTTGAACTTTTTCAAAACATTACTAGGGTTTTAGAATTTAACATTCCTAATTAAACCTTTTAATCAACTTTTAAATTCCAAAACGTGAGGGTAAGTTTTGAAATATTTCAAAACATTAGGGTTTAGAATTTAAATATACATCACAATTAAACTATTAATCAAAATTTAAATTCCAAAACTTGAGGGCAAGTTTTGAACCCTTTTTTTCAAAACATTAGGGTTTCAACTATTTAATTTTCAAAAGAACAAAACTTTTGGGTTCAAATTTAAACTATAAAACCTAAAGGGGAAAATATGAAACTTTTCATAACAACAAGGATCAAATAACAAATAATCTAAAATTAACAATTAATAACATAATTATCTATATTTGATTTATTTAATGATTTCTTGCAAAACAATTTATCAATTTAATCAAGATAATCAATCAATTATCACATAAGGAAACAATTATCTTATTAATTGATAATTATCTTTAATTAGATCAAGAATATAGTCATATATATCATAAAATCGGATTTATATTGATCTAATATGATAAAGGAAAGTATCTCAAAGATAAACAACAAAAAATCCGAAATTACCTCTGTCTAACGCACTGACTCGCCGAGTCACCCTCTGGAACTCGACGAGTAGGGCTAACTCGCCGAGTCCAAGAGTGACTCGCCGAGTCAGGTCGAACAGTGAGGCCAAAACATGTTTTTCAGTTACATCAAGCATCAATACAATTGAAACCAATCAAGGCTCTGATACCACTGTTGGGTTTTGGTCCTAAGAACATCCTAAGTGCTCATACAAACCCTAATGCTTGGATCTAGGTTTCTCTATTGTACATGCAAGTTATCAAAGACTATAAACCCTAATTCTAGCATTCAAATAATCATATTAACATGAGAATAAGTTTATAATGTTACCTTGATTGTTATATAGCAATAACAATCCCAAACCTCCTTGTATTGACTTTGGAAAGCTTAGAGTCACAATTGTCACTCCTCTAATGGTTCACAAACACCATAAGCAAGAGGAGGAGGAGGAGAGAGGATGGAGGCTGCCCAAAAACGTGTGAAACCCTAGAAAGATCATTAGCCACGTTTTTGAGTCATAAGGGTCTTATATATAGTAAGGCTATTAGGGTTATCTAACAAGGAAACCCTAAATTGGATGCTTAAGCCTTAAGCAACCCATGGAGCCCTTTCCACAAGGCCTTGGACGATTTCATATGGGCTTCCCCATAGAATTCATCCGCCTTATAATATAAGGCAATCCATGGCCCAAATTATAATTATCTTATAATTACAATTCCAATCCCTTAAGTTTAATTAATCTCTTTTAGTCACAAAACTAATTACTAATTAATTATTGACTAATATTAATTAAACAATATGATTTCTCCTTTAATATATTATTCTCATAATATATTAATAAATTATATTTAATCCTTTCTCTCCATAATTCATCCTATCAAGTTGCTTTGGTGAAGGCAACCCAAAAGGACCATGCACCATCGGGTCAAGTACATACCAAAATAGTTATGGACTTAGACACTAATCCAACAGGATAGTCGGTCCCATATAGATCTATACACAACAGTCACGCTCTTTCCTACAAGAGATTCTAGTTACAAGTGCTAATCCTACACCCTGATTCTGTGGGGGTGTTACCAAGGACGTGTCTCCAACTTTAGACTAACAAATATACAAGTAATAATTCTAAAAATCCTGTATATGGTTTGCATGAACCCTTTATAAAATAACATATTTTACGATATGATTCACAAGTTCATTGCCTTAGTTTTGAAAACCATTTCTACGAGTTGATTTTTTTATCGTTTGGTAAAACTGTTTTCCGTGTTAAAAGCATACTAAACTTATAACTATATTAAACAAATAATATGCTTTGAGCACAAGTTTCCTTGTACTTTTGCTTGTATTCCCCCCTTGAAAACATGAAAAACTCGGAAAAAGTGTAGTGGTATGAACTCACCGTTTTGGCGTAGGATTTGAATGTAAGATCGGTATGGATACTGAGTGTCAACTGAAGCCTCGAACACAATTGGACCCTATTTAACATGTAATGACACATATATGATTCAAATTAGGGTATTTTATGACTAGACATGATAGGAAACCACTCTAAGGACTCGGGAACACTTGAACTAAGTGTTAAAACCTTATGTGATTAAGTGAAGGAGGTGTATGGCCACCATAAGGGTGTGTACGGTGATGGGTGTATGGTCCATGAGTGTACGGCCATACACTCATGATGAGGGGTGTTTTTGAGGTGTTTCCAAGGTTCTACAAGCATACAAGGAGTGTTCTAGGTCCCATACTTAGTGGTTTTGTATGTTTAAGGCCAAATATGAACATCAAAGTGGGTGTTTACAGTTCTGGGAGGTGTGTGCCGTCGTACAAACGGGGGTGCTGCCGTACATTCTTCATCCATGCCCAAAATGTCGATTTTTCAAGAGAATCAAGGCTAGGGTCGTGTCCAATTAGAAGATAAAGGCCAAATTCTCACTTTGGAGGGGCTTTAAGGTGTGTACGGCCACCTTATGAAGGTGTGCGGACGTACACCTTCAAAAAATGAAGAACAAGGCCTAAAATATGAAGAATCAAGGAAATCTTTCAAGTATAATGAGCTAATTGATGAATTACTTACGTTTTTGATGCCTTTGGAGGGTTCTTGGATGAAGATTCTAGAGAGAAAAAGTAGTAGGGTGCAACGAAAGGAAGAAAAGAATGAATGAGAGGGGTCTCCTCATATTTATAGGGGTGGGTTACCTACCACCCCGGGTGTGCGGCAGCACACCCATGTGTACAACCGTACACTCTTCCCAAGAGGGTGTATGGCCCGATTTTGCTACTTTACGACTTCATACTTCATCCCTAACCTCAACCTTGGTTGTCCTCAAGCTTATAACACTTAAACGGACCCTTAAACGTTGTTAGAAGACAACGGATATGGTTTTAACATTGGTTGAGTTGACTAGGTATACAAGGTGGTAATTCCGGGTTGTCACACACACACACACACACACACATATATATATATATATATATATATATATATATATATATATATATATATATATATATATATATATATAATCATTACATACTACATATTTAGTAAGGTTACTAACTTTATTGTATACAAGTGTTGATTGGAAGCATATCATGATATGCATTTCCTTATTGATAAAACATAGGCTAGATGATACTCAATGGACATTTGTATCGATACCTATCAGCACGAATGCATATAACTGGAGTAACATGGACGATGAATCCATTTAGTCAGCTTGATCCAAGTTTGATATAATATACTTGTCTTTCAATTACATTACTTGGTACAAAGAAGGGTTGATTTGAACATTAAGTTATTAATTAAAAATATTTATATAATTATTATTTTTTGCAATAGATTTAAAGGTTTTCATACAATTACATTTTAGGGTATGTTTTTGAAATACTTTTTTTTTCTTTTTTTGTCAAAAACCATATAAATTTTAACAATAATTAAACCACTAAACAATAATTAAACATTTTTTTTTAAATAAACATAATGTAACTCTAGAATGAGGTTCCTGGCTTATCTCTCCAAATTATCTCTGGACTTTGAGATTTATATCTGGAATGCTTCATTTGGGACAAAATGATCATTTTACCAAAAAAATAATAATAATAATAAATAAAAAAAAGAGGATTTTTATAAATAAATAAATAAATAAAAAAAATAAATAAATAAATAAATAAATAAAAAAAAAAAAAAAAAAAAAAAAAAACGTTTATACGAATTGGATTACTTAATTTCCCTTAAAAAAACATCTTAAAAATATTAGTCATGAGGACGAAATATACTTCCAAACACAGAAAACATTCGTGTAAAATTTTTGTTTTATAAAGAAAAAAAAGTGAAAATTTGATGCCCAAACCCAATTTTGCCATTAAACGTGATCAGATATTAAAAAAATAAAAATTAAAAATCAATCTGTTACAGTGTTACACACACAATCAGAGGGAGAAAGAAATGTAAAATTATTAAATGAAGTGAGGTATCTCGTCTTCTTCTATCTTCCCTCCTAACCTGCAAAATCTGTTTTCCTCTGTTTGTCGCAATTTGTGAGACACGAGCTTCAGGTCAATCTCAGGTACTCCTCTTCTTTCTTCCTTCACATCTGTTCCGATTTCCTTATTCAGTACAACATCAATTCGCAAGTATACAGTTCATATTCCCTCCATTGAAATATATCTTCAATTTTCTCTTACTTTCATCGTGTTTACGTGGATGCTTAACCACATTACCATTTCCACAATTTTCTCTTCTCTCCTTTGTATATTCATAAATTGTTATCTTCATATCAGTACATTTTCACCATCTTCTTGGAGTTTATACCAAAAATTCGGCTCAATTCATGTTTCTTTGTCGTAATTAGTTATCATTTGAGACGATATTCGCAAAGGTTTTAAAATTCAGGTTTATCTCGGTGGAATTTTGTGCGAATAGTTGTAATATTTGATCATCTCTTTTCAGACCTTCGACTTCGAGTTTCTATCCATTCTTCTGAGAGCTCTCTAATGGAAAAGGTAAACATCCGATCTGAAATTGGACATACCGAGATTTTCTGATGTTATATGATCACTGACGATGGAACATGAACATATATACAATTGTAGTACAAATTAATAGCTAAAATCAAGAAAGGCGTCTTTCAAGGCTTGTGTCTTTTATCATCCCAAACTGTTACTCTCAAACAGTTAGGGTTTCCTGATAACGAAGGTGTCCCTGGCTCCCTTATCAAGGAGATAACCCTGCTACAAGCAATGAGACATGCCAACATTATCAAGTACAATACAAATACACTACCTACACTCTTTCTCTTCCTTTTCGTACTTTTCTACAAACCCTAGACTTCGAAAACGCTTAACCTAATGATACAATCTCGGATTACAGGCTGATCGATGTGGTGAATCATCAAGAACAGAGTAGTATAGTCCTTGTTTACGAATCTATGGAGACGAATCTCACAAGTTTTATCCGGATTTATCCAAAAGTAATGAAGATTCCACGAACAATCAAAGTAAGTGTTCCCGAACTAAATTTCCACCCCATTTCAACGGCTTATTCTTTATTGTGGTTTTTCACAGGAACTTTTACGCCAGATTTTACTTGCAGTATCCTATTATCATTCTTTTGACATTGTTCATGGAGGAATTAAACCCGCGAATACGTTCATCGATCCTGCAACAAACACTTTGAAGATTACAGACTTTGTATGGCCTAGGACGCTGTTTAACTCCAATACTGAAGATCCAAATGAGGTAGATATGTTTTAATTATTCATGAGAATTAATTATTCATGAGAATTTATTTTTTTTGTTATAGGAATTGGGTTTCTGTTACAAGGCTCCTGAAATTCTTGTGGAGCATAAACAATTCAGCACTGCAATCGATGTTTGGTCTGTTGGATGCATTTTTGCAGAAATGGTGACTCAGAAGCCTCTGTTTTCAGCTACCTCGGAATTTCATCAACTTGCAAAAATTTTCAGGTTTCTGATTTTATTTTAAATTTTTATATAAACGCATAAATATATTTAATGCAAAAAATTTATATTTTGGTTGTTTTGTAGTATCGTGGGGACACCTAGTGAAGAAACATGGCCCGGATTTTCCAGGATTTATCGGTATTTACATATATATAGTCATTGCAAACCTAAGGTAACAATATTCTCATTAATAACTCCTTTTTTTTCTTTTTTCTTTTATTTAAAAAAATTATTTTCCAATATATTAATAATTTTTTTTTTTTGTAGGATCTGAGGAAATTAGTTCCTGGTCTTGAACCAGCTGGAATTGATCTTCTTCATGTGAGTATACATTTTCCATTATATAAGCACAATGAATCTATTTTTTTTACTCTTTTTATTTATTTTTATTTTTATATATATATATTTTTTTGTTCTTGATGTTTCAGAAACTACTATACATGGACCCAAAAGGAAGAATCACAGCTAGACAAGCATTGGAGCATGTATATTTCCAGAATTGATTTTTTTTTCCCTTTGATCTTCATCCAATATGATATTCAAAGTTTGTGAAAAAATGATATATGATATGATATTCAAGGTTTGTAAGTAAATGATATATGATATATGGCATGAATGAATTTTGGGATATGTGTCATTTAATTAGATTTGTTATAAAGAGTAGTTTTTTTTTTTTGGGAGTATAATAGTTTAATAAATGTTTTAAGTAGAAATTTGTAGTTAAAGTAAGGTGTGTCATGAAAAATAAAAATAAATCGTGATCTATTTGAAACTTTAAGTATCATAAAAATTAAAATGATCGAAAGCAAACAATTATACTCCAAAAATAAACCAAACGTGCAAATTTTATTGATTTTGAGTTTGAATTTTTGTGACAAAAAGTGTTATAGAAGATATTGCTTGAATATGTTTCTACTATTTAGATTAAAAAATAACCAGTTTTTTGAGTTTGAAATTTTAGTTATTTAACGAATAAATAGAAAAAAATGAAAATGATACTACTTCTATACATTGTTGGATATTTTAAATTTACAAATATGAATATTTTTTACAAATAAATTCTGAAAAAAATATGGTCGGGTATAATTCCAACAATTATTTTTCTTCCTCATATCAACATATTCGTTTGTACTTTTGAATTCTCTAAATTATGATTCGAAAGAGGGATAATATAGGAATTTCGCTTCTCTTACAAAATTCGTTTTCTATATTATTTTTAACCGCTTAAGATATAAATTCAAAAAGCAGTTGACTACTTCTGTTAGAATAACAACTCCCAAGATTCATCAATGGCGACTCTTCTCCAAATCCTCTTCCTTCTCCCTTCAATCATCATCATCTTCCCCACCACAACCGCTGCCGCCGCCTACTCCCACCTCTCTCCATCAACGACAGAAGAACAACTACCGCCATACAACTTGTCCACTCTCCTCTACACCCTCGGCTTCCATGATCTCTCAGTCGCAGCCACTTCCCCTGCCAACCTAACCACCATTTTCGCCCCCACCGACGAATCCCTCCGCTCCTGCCGTTACTGCTCCACCTCTCTCCTCCTCCTTGAACACTCCGTCACCGGCCTCTACCCTTACCACCTCCTCCGATCCTTAACCTTCGGCACCAAAATTGAAACCCTAGCTTCCACCCCCACCACCCCTCTCTGTCTCACTCTCACAAAATCAACACCGCAAAACCCATCCAATGAGCCTACGCTATTCGTCGGAGGCGTCGAGATCACACGGCCGGACCTTTTCAACGATGGTAACGTCATCATCCACGGAATCCAAGGCTACCTCGCTCATCTCTCCCCGTTTTCCTGCCAGATCGAACGGATGACTTCTCTCTCATTCCCTTCGCAGCGGACCTCCGCCTCGCCGTCGACGATCTCTATCATGCGCGAATTCCTTAAAGACGCTATGACTAGCCTCCGCATGAACGATTACACCGTGCTCGCTCTCCTACTACAAGAAAACTTCGAGCAGCTGATGCAATTGAACAGCATGACGATATTCGCCGTCGACGACGGCGGTGTGTTTGGAGATGGACATACATACGTCTCTAATTTCAGGTTCCACATTGTTCCTAATCAGAGACTGACGGCCTCTGAATTGCTCAATCTGCCTGTCGATTCGGTGTTGCAGACTATGGAACCTGGTGAGCGATTAAGAGTAACGGTGGCTGGCGGCGGAGGTCCCATGTCGCCGATGAGGATCAATAACGTCAAGATCACGGTAACCAATATAGTGTTTAACCAGGGGATCGTCGTCCATGGAATCGGAGCTCCGTTTCCACGTGTCCATCTTACAACGATGGGATTTATGGCGGATCGGACGGACCCAGTACTCCTTGGGCCCACAGCAAATGACTATTAGTTGGAAACTGCTTGTTTTGTTCAGTTTTAGGGTATAAAGGTCATTTTCAGTTGTATCGGCAAAATTTGTTCACTAATTGGTTGACTAAAAACGTCTCATTGAAATTTGAATACCAATTTCCCATTTTGTCCCCTTTATATATAAAGATTTTTTCATAACATGACATATTTAACTTTTACTCCCAATTTTGAAGGAAGATAAAAAAAAGGTGATTAGAGAAAGCGAGGGAAGCGTTATTTTAGCCCCTTTGTGTCCTTGCAATTGGCAAAATAAACCCAAACAGCCCTTGTATAATAATTTATTTTCGAGAATCAACGTACATATAGTTGCCCCATGATTACCCCAATATTATATGATGGTTTTCATAACATCTCAGGCCACACATATATTTAGCCCATTCCAATATAGGCAAGGCGAAAACAACAATCTCTTTTAGGTTGTTCCCCACAAATGATCAAATATCCGTAATTCAACCATTATTATGATTTATGGGAAAGGGTTTAAGATAGAATACTACATAAGCAGGTCAACATATCAACTATCAAACTATCACAAATAGTTGCAAACAAAAATGTTGATAGTAGATATCAGTCTTTCATAATGTTTTTCCTTGGTTCATAAGCTTTTATGCAGTAGAATTTAATAGTATAACCATCAATTAAAGAGCAAAAGTACTCGTAAACTGGATTAATATGAAAGAAAGCACCAAATTTCTTATTAAAAATCAAAGCAAAAGTTTATCTAAGGAGCAATATAAATAGTTCAATATAATCCTATTGGAATCCTAAGTCACATAGAACATTGGAGATCAAGCAATCATAATATGGCAAGTTGGTCATGTTTTCTAATTCCAGTCTAATAGCAAGTTGGTTATTAGAACCTATATAAACATTGTCTTAGCCGTGTTAGGGTATGAGATAGTAATTGTAAACAATTGAGTTTTGACATTAATCAAAGAGCTATTTTGATTAAATTGTTTTGCAATTTATTTTCTTTTCATTAATTGGTATCAGAGCTTAAGTTAAGAAGCTGTGAGATCGAGTTGTTTACCTATTGATGAGCTAGGTCAATATGTCAGACGTAGAAGATGGTGCAGGGCCTCCTCCGGTGAGAGTGAAGGACGTTGGGACAACCACAATAGCATGTCCGATGCTTACTTCCACTAATTATACCGTGTGGGTACTAAGGATGAAAGTAGTGCTCAGAATTCATAAAGCATGGAGTGTAATTGATCCTGGAACAGAAGAGAATGAAGAAAAAATTACATGGCAATCGGAATGTTGTACTAAGCAATACCAGAATCCTTGATTATGCAGTTGGGAGATGTCGAATCAGCTAAAGTCCTCTGGAACTCGATCAACGCCGATCGGGTGAAATAAGCTCGACTTCAAACCCTAAATTCTGAGTTCGACAGATTGTTGATGTGAGAGAAAGAATCAATTGATTCCTTTGCCGGGAAATTGTCAGGAATCGCTTCTCAATCGGCGTCACTGGGAGATACCATCAAAGAATCAAAGATGGTGAAGAAGCTGCTAAAATTCGTACCAAGAAAGTTTCTTCATATCGTGGCGTCACTTGAGCAGGTTCTCAATTTGAAGACAGTCGGGTTTGAGGACATCGTCAGGCGGTTGAAAGCGTACAAATAGAGGGTGAAGGAGGCGGATGGTAGCGGAGAAGATCATGTGAAGGCGTTGTTTACAAAGTCTTCAAGTAGTGGAGGTTCAAGCAATCGCATAACACAAGGGAAAGGGATGAAGGAAGTAAACGGGGCAGGAGGGTCAAATGGATCGAATGGATCAAGTGGATCCAAATATGTAAATCGGGTTTTGCAAGGTGGCAAGCCCAATAATGGAACCAAGTCCAATTTTGATCATCCCAATTCCAATAATAACCCAAATAAAAATAAAACAAAAAAGGATTGATCAAAAATCATTTGTTATTGGTGCGATAAACTAGGCCACTTCGCGTCTAAATGCCCGGACCGAATTAAAAAATTACAAGAAAGTAATTTTGCCGAACATGACGATGCCGATGAGACCATATTTTTACACGAGACCGTATTTTTAGCCGAAGAAAATGTGATATCGTCCTGATACGACTCACAAGACAACTATGTGTGGTACTTGGATAATGGGGCAAGCAATCACATGACGAGAAATCGATCATTCTTCTCCGAACTTGATGAAGGCATAACCGGGAGGGTTAAATTCGGAGATAATTCGTGTGTAAAAATCAAGGGAAAAGGTGCTAAAAGGGGTAAACAAAGGCTGATGACGGAGATTTACTACATACTGGATCTCAAGAACAATATTATTAGTCTCGGACAAGCAATCGAAGCCGGGTGTGATATTAGAATGAAAGATAACTATTTAACCATGCATGATGTCGATAATTGTTTATTAATGAAAGTACAAAGAACTCCAAACCGCTTTTATAAAATAAAATTACAAATTGGAGTTCCTATTTACCTTCATTCGAGACTAAGTAAAGATACGTGGCGATGACATGTAAGACTTGGGAACATCAATTTCGAATCGATGAAAAAGATGTCCAAGGGTTTAGTTAAAGGGTTACCTCAATTTGATCATGAGAATCAATTATGTGAATCGTTCTTGGTCGGTAAGCAAACAAGAAAGTCATTCCTAACTATGACGACATACAAAGCAAAACAACCATTGGAGCTAGTTCACGGTGATTTGTGCGGTCCGGTCATGCCGACAACCAAGGGTCAAAATCGGTATATTTTTACACTAATTGATGATTTTTCACGGTTTATGTGGGTTTATCTCGTAAAAGAAAAGAGTGAGGCATTTACACACTTCAAAAAATTCAAAGTTTTGGTGGAGAATGAAATTGGAAAGCCTTTGAAAGTGTTTAGAAGTGATCTAGGAGGTGAGTTTACTTCTCTCGAGTTTAGTTCTTTTTCTGAGCAAAACGGAGTCAAACGCCACCTTACCGCCCCACACTCTCCACAACAAAACAGAATTGTGGAACGAAGAAACCGAACACTAATGGACATGACACGAAGTATAATTAAGGCAATGCATGTTCCAACCTACTTATGGGGAGAAGCGGTAAATCACTCTAAAAATCTAATTAATCGAGTGTACACAAGAGTCCTTGGTGATACAACTCCATACGAAAAGTTGTATAAAAGAAAACCGAATTTAGAAAATGTTTGAATATTTGGGTGTCTAGCACATGCAAAAGGTCAAACCGGTTAATCTAAAGAAGTTAGATGCAAGATCAACACCACTAGTGCATGTAGGTTCCGAACCGGGTACAAAAGCTTATCGATTATTTAATCCGGTAACACAAAAAATAATCGTGAGTCGAGACATTATTTTTGATGAAACCAAAGGGTCGGATTGGATTAAAAAAGCAGGAACCAACAATGAAGAACCGGGTTCATTCATAATACTGTGACAACCCGATATTTTGAGGCAATATGATGGAATGCAAGTCAATTCTAGGTCAAAATTTAACTTCCCAAAAATCTGATCTGGGTTAAATTAAGTAGTAGGAATCGTATCAAGGTTTTCGTACATATAAAGAACCCTAGAATCCGAGTTATAACGAAGAAGTTATGACCAACAGAAGATTCTCGGCAAAACCGGCAACACTGATAGACGTAAAACGCGAAGTTTCAATACAATAATTTTTAGCCTTAGATATCTAAATGAAAGTTTTAGATATCATTAAACCGTAAACGTACATAAAAAGAACGTCCGAATCTGACTTCGTATGAGGAAGTTGTGATTTTTCTAAGTTACGGATATAACAGTGGACAGCTAAAAACTCGAAATAGAGATCGAGAGACTTTTAGCCAACACAAACTAAATGACAATCGAAGGTCTCAACAATAGTAGCGCAACGGTAAAAAGTCTGACGAAAACGAACATCGGATGAAGAAGTTTTGGAACTTTAACGGACGTTGTCTGTCCTGACCTATTAAAAATATAATATTAAAAATTAGCCGACAGAGTCTAAACGAAAGTTGTAGAACGTAGTTTCACCTACGCGTGGATATAAAGAACGTCGAAAACGGTGGTCGTATGAGGAAGATATGAATTTTTGAAGTTTACTAAATAATTAAAATATAAATTTAATTAAAATCCGGTATTATCCGAAGGAGGAGTCATCGGACCAATCTAGGTTACGCCCAGCGTACTCGGATGCTTGGCTCCGGTTCATCCACGTCGCTCCAATGCCTCGACCGAGGATGCGGTCATCCCTGACGTTGCGTACGCCCAACATACGCGAGGCTTTCAGCCTCTATAAATAGAATGCGAGGATGCCGGCCATTTTTGCTCAATTCTTCCCTTTCTCGCGCCGAAGCTCTGCGTTTCAACCCTCAGAGCCATCCCAAAGTCCTGGTTTTCATATCCATGTTTGGAAGGAAGTTTTACGCTCCCGAGAATCCCGAGAAATCCGCTTTCGCGAGTAGAAGTTCTGCTCGGTTTTCGTCACGCTTTCTTCAATCTATTAAGTGAGTTCATACCCCTTAGCTAACCTTTTAAATGTTTATAAATGTTTATAAATTCTTTATTGGGGGGGGGGGATACAAGTTGAATCGTGTTTAGTTATTATATCAATCACATGTGATTAATAACTAGCATGCAAATGGATTTACTATACATTAACTGTTTTACCAAATAGATTTCTTCAAATGACTTTCTTAAATGTTTTTAGATGTTTAAAACTCTTTATCAAAATATCTTACACACTGTAAGCTTCCTTTCAAACTCTGTTACAATGGTGTTTTCAAACAAAGGTTTTCCTTATACGTAAATTGTCTTATCAAATAAATTCTTTCAATCGTTTTATAAACTGACATCAGTTCATCGTTTCTAAGTATTAAACTTTTCAAAGGTTTTAGAAAACTTCTTTTACGCTTTTATATTGTCAAATGCATGCCCATGTATGTATAATTATATAAATAATGTTTAAAGGACTTAGGACGGTTAGCTCGCCTTATTTCCTTTTCCTCGTTGGGATGT